CCCCTATATAATCCCTAGATACCCCCTATATAATCCCTAGATACCCCTATATAATCCCGATGTTGCAGGCCGCCAATGCCCATCCTGTCTCCGAAGCCAGTGGGTTTTGCCTTCGGACGATCCAGACCCGCAAGTTGCTTTTGCGGAGGACCCAGGGTCAGATGTCGGGTTTAGGGGTTTAGGGGTTTAGGGATTTAGGGATTTAGGGTTTAGGTTTAGGGATTAGGATTTAGGTGTAGGTTTCAGGCTTTAGGTTTTTGGATTAGGATTTAAGGGTAGGGTTTGGGGTTTACTATAGAGATCCGCTCCTCATGAACCACCATTAGGCAAAGCTAATGCCGACAAATCTTTCTCAATCGAATTGGAACCCCACCAAAGCCCAGAACCAGCAAACCCCCCACAACCCAATCCACCCTATATAACCCCTATATAACCCCATATTAACCCTAAACCCTGAACCCTATATAACCTTATATGTCTTCATACAACCCTAGGTAGGCCCTATATAACCCCATGTTAACACTCAACCCTGAACCCTACTGTATCTAACTTCATATAACTTCATTTGACCCTGTATAACCCCTATATAATCAAGTCCTGCAAGCAGCCAACCTACAGGACGTCCTGCGAATCGTTCCTGTCAAAGATGACCGAGTTCTGCCTGAGGAGCTGGTGACGAACCTCCTCGGAACAGGCAGGGTGTATAAGGTTTAGGGTTCAGGGTTTAGGGTTTGGGGGTTTGGGGGTTTGGGGTTTAGGGTTTGGGGTTTAGGGTTTAGGGTGGTACAGGGTGTATAGGGTTTAAGGTTCAGGGCTCTGGGGCTCCAAGTGGGCATATAGTTCGGGTTCGGTTGAGGGGCCTGCATCAGTATTCCGCTAACTTAGGGGTCCTCATGATTTGGGGGGTCCCCATAACAAGGAATATAGTGGATGGCTTGGCATTGCCTGTTTGTGGAAATAGACATGCTGACCCTCATCGGTAAACCCGCCTCCTGCAAAAAGCTCGAGTGAACAAACCCTAAACCCTAAACCCTTCAAAAAGCTTGAGTGAGCGCGTACGACCCCACAAAAAACCACGGCGGGGCCCATACTAGGGGCCTCTTTTATTTAATTGGGGATCCTTCGCAAGCCTAAGCTGTTCCAGCTACCGCAAAGTCGCTAGGTAGAGACAAGTCCAAGTTATCTCCACTGTAGATTATGACTAGCTGGGTGGTTTCCTGTAGTCTGTTGTAGGTATTGTTGCTTTGCCTACTAGATGCGTAGAAATCCCTGAGCCATTTTCGCGCAAGCACCCTAGCGTAATGCTCCCTTTCTTGATGTTGACTGGCATTTAACGAAAGTTGGTTCAACCACGGTTTAAACGGGGAACCTTCAACCCTGAACCCTTTGCGTGTACGTTCAGACACAATCCCTGCAATAAGGACAGAAATATGCTCGGTCAGCAAAGAGACATCCGGTCGACACAAAATCCATTGTGGGAAGAAAGATTTCCCTAAACCCTATATACCCCTATATATCCCTATATCACCCTATGTATCCCTATACATCTCCTTTAAGGGGATTCAACCCTGTGGCAGGCCTCTGGACACAGGTAGAACTCGGCGAATCTTTGCCATTCCACCGGCAATCCCGGCAACTAGAAGCTTTAGGGATTCGAATTTAGGGTTTAGGGTTTAGGTTTTGGAGCTTTTAGATTTGGAGTTCGGGGCTTAGAGTTTAGAAGAGAGGCTGGGAGGACAAGGGAGGACTTTTGGAGGATTAAGAATTTTAAGCTGCTTGTTGCACACAAAGAATGTTGGACTTATTTCTTGGCCACCCTGGATCCTAGGCAAAGCAGCGAATATCTGCCACACCTACATCTAGCCGTCGAAAAGATATAGACGCTACAGTCATCCACAAGTAGATAGAGTACGAGCATCTATTGGTAAAGCCATCTATCCTTCGGCACATCTGCTGCACTAGGAATTCTCTTCTGTCTCTTGCCTTCTGTCTACTTACGGATGACTCGAGACAGCAAGCGACCTCTCTTTTGTGGGAGTTCGCGGCCCGCCCTTGTTTCATTTGGGGGTTTCCGAAAAAATCGGGTTCCACTTTTTCGGGGTCCCCAGAATATGATAGTATATTGGGGTCTATATCGGGGCTTCTGTTTATGGAAACCCCCATGTGCATTTTCAATGTCAATGACAACAGCAGCGGCACAAGGCTACCTTTGTGAGATGTACCACGCAGTTGCCTGTTGACAAGAAGCCCTCATGCCACTGCAAGCTTAGGCATCATAGACGTCATAGACAGCGTTGGTGCTGTGGCTTTGCCCAGTTGGCAGGGTTTGGCCAATAGCCTGCTTGCCAGCTGTGCGGATGGGACTTTGAACTCCACGTCTGCTCGGCAAGTTACAGGGGCACTCTTGAAACACTGGAGTGCCTTTTTGCTAAAGTCTCCTTATTGAGGGTTCCGAGGGTTTGGTGAATCATGAGAAGTATTGTTGTTGGTATTACTTGATATATCTGTCTCCATGGCGCATCATTATCTGTGCTGAATTTGGCTCCTTAATTTCATGGGAGTGTGCTTAGGACTGTTGTGTGTGTGTGAGCCTGTGTTTAGCTGCGTACATGCCAGAAAAAGAGAGAAGCAATCTTAAGAAGCTTCAGGGTTCAGGGTTTTGCAGTCTCAGGTCTTCATAGCATTATTCATGCTTTGGTACCAGTAGCAGTAGAAGCAGCGGTAGTATGAGAAATAATAGCGATAGCACATAGCACTGTAGTCCCCCTTAGAAGAAATAGAATAGGGGGTATATAGGGATCTTATGATAATATACCCAAAGCCATATTCTATCTACTTAAGGCCGACTATACCCCAAACCCTAAACCCTAAACCCTATATTCTATCTACTTTAAGGGGGATTATACCCAAAACCCCACACCCTAAACCCTAAACCCCTAGACCCTAATAGGTAGAGGATTCTAAGGAGACTTTCCTTTATGGAGGGAGCACCTCGCAGCGGGTCGCGCGACAAGAAAATCTCATGGGCTCCCCTACTACCACCCATTGAATATATTGGGTCTAGGGTTTAGGGTTTAGGGTCTAGGGTTTAGGGTTTAGGGTCTAGGGTCTAGGGTTTAGGGTTTAGGGTTTAGGGTTTAGGGATTTCCCTTGACTGGGTTTAGTTAGCACTAGATGATTAAGGGGGGGAGGATATGTAGGGGGGATAGTCGCGGAACCCATGAAAATTCTTCCCACGGCGGAGCCTCTCAGGTGTGAGCACTTACTCAGATGCTTGGGGTTTTCTTTAAATGGGGGTCCCACGAGAACGCCCCAAAATGTGTGAACTATAGAGGGATGATGGGGGTCCTTATTTGGGATTCTGTGAGGACCGAGTTTTGAGAAATCCCCCCTGCAAGGATCTGGAAAGTAGAGCCGCCAACATGGTACCGTATGCTGCAACTACGTTGATTTCTTGGAACCCTGACAATGAGGGGGATCTAGTTGCTCGATCCTCCAAAAACCCTGGGAAGAAGCGGCAGCCAATGTTGATCTTTGTATCTGCGCTGCAGCAACCTCAGCAACCAAAGTGTGTTCTCTTGAGTAGTCCCCCGTGATCTGTGCGATCAGGATGATTCGCGGCCTTGCAATGGTGCTCCTGTGCTCCCAGGCAGTTGCCGGGCCCTTGAGTGGTCTGTTGGCGAGCCTAACAGGTCATGAGAATGCCACCTGTGCGGACACTCATCATGCTTGTGCCACGAGCTTTGCTGCCTTCTTCCCAGATACGGCAGCTACGCATGCGGCAGACCACTTCCTGCCCGACATCTCAAGCTCATCAGTGGCAGATGGACATGAGGCACACCATGACGGACACATGGACCAGTTTGACTCCTCGTCCCTTCTGAACGGCCGACGGCCCCGGATGTTTGTGAGCTTTGAGAAGAAGTGATGTGATCGTTGTGTGGCGTGAGCACAGCTGTTGCTGGGCTGTGAGGGAATCAAGCCATGACACAGGCAGAAAGGACCTGCATGCAGAGAACCATCTCATGTCAGTGCCTATGCTGCTTTCAGCAGCTGTGTGTGTATCATAACGGTGGAGCGACTTCTCTGAAGGTTGCACTTTACGGTGTTCTTAGTTCCAGCATGCCACTCCGGCAGGCGACTGGGGAGGCAGTTGCATAATGAACCTGACGCATTCCAATGCGCATGAAAAATGGTCTGTGGTCTCATACTAACTCCATAAACAGGAAGCCCCAATGTAGATCTTATCATGCTAACTCCGAAGCAGAATGGACTCCCCAAAAAGGGGTTCCTAATTTTGGACCACTCCGGATGCAGCGGAAGTAAGAGGACCTGACAGGTAGCAGGCTGTAGTCATAGTAGGTGACAGTCCCTTCATACTACTAGTAAACATCCCTTCCCAACTATAGGCTTTGGGTTCAGGGTCTGGGGTATTGAGCACCCCACCCTTCATTCCAGACATGCCCCCGGCATGTAATTGGGGACCCTACGAGGGAATATTCAACATGGAGGGGGGCTGTCTCAGATAAGTATGAGGGGATTATGGACATATCATACTGCTTTGAAGTTTACAGTAAAGTCCAATCCATTAGATGAAAGGTGTCATGTTCTTTGGCACTCTGTGGGAGATTGTGTGTTGCCCAAGAAAGCGCTGAACAGCTGCAGACGATTTGTCCCGCTAAGGCTTTTTGGGGTCATGAGACTCGGCGGCGAAGCTTTCTGTTCAGAATGAAGCCACCCAGCATTGCGCGCGATATTGCACTGAGCTTGGAATCTGCCAGATTTGTGTATTCCTGCACCAAGATGTGCAAGGCCTGCAAACCCTCCCCAAACTAGCATGGAACCCTCCCACAGGCGGGCCTACGTACACCATTGTGCATTGAAAAGGGGTGACATGGGGTTCCATGTTAGTGTGAACGGTCATGAACTATCCATGGCCGCAGCGTACGAAGCCGCCAAGCTGCCTAGCCGAGTAGTCCCCCGTGATTTGTGCGATCAGGATGATTCGCGGCCTTGCGATGGTAGTCCTGTGCTCCCAAGCAGCTGCGGGAACCTTGAGTGGTCTGTTGGCGAGCCTAACAGGTCACGAGAACACCACCTGTGCTGACACTCATCATGCCTGTGCCACGAGCTTTGCTGCCTTCTTCCCAGATACGGCAGCTACGCATGCGGCAGACCACTTCCTGCCCGACATCTCAAGCTCATCAGTGGCAGATGGACATGAGGCACACCATGACGGACACATGGACCAGTTTGACTCCTCGTCCCTTCTGAACGGTCGACGGCCCCGGATGTTTGTGAGCTTTGAGAAGAAGTGAGCAGGGGAGCATGCTGGCTAGTGACCGGTTCGTGACTAGTCGGGTAATCCAACCGCTATACAATGTACGAAGGAGGCGCCTGCATGCAGAGAACAATCTCATGACAGAGCGCTGTTATCTTGAAACTTGAATCTCAGGCTGTGTTGTCCAAACTTGTAGGGACAGCAATTCGTTGATGAGTCTTCTTCGGCACTCGTCAGACCCGCAGTATCATGGAGCGAAGAAATAGCGACAGCATGTTTGTGACATCCCGCCAGCCATGTTACTACCTAACACGGAGTGCGATCTAGCGTGAATGTTTCCTAAAAGTGGGGGGTCTCTTTGTAGGCTTCTTGCAGTTGAGGACTATGACATGTGGGGGTAGAGCAGGGGCACCCATCATTTTTAGAAACTCACGCAGTGGCTGGCGCGGACACGGACAGGGTTGATGTGGTGTAGACTGGAACGGCTGTTCTCAGAGTTCGGGTGCCGGTTCGGCTTGCTACCCATTCGACAGGCATACTGTTGATGTATGGAATCCGGCAGGACTTTTGATGCTTAATCCATGGGATATGTGGTAGTTTCCATAAATCGAATCACCTCAATATAGACCCCGAAGCACTATAATCCTTATTATGGTGATCCCCCAAACGGTACCCCTAATTTTCGGAAACCCCCGCGTGGTATAGGGGTGTACTTCTACTTGGGTTTTGGCCCCAAACCCTAAGCCCTAAACCCAAAACCCTAAGGCCTAAACACCAAACCGCAAACCCTAAACCGTAAACCCCAAACCCAAAACCCTAAACCCTAAGCCCTAAGCCCTAAACCCGAAACCCTAAACCCTGACCAACCCCCTGGCATCTTCTTGCAGAGCCCTGCACCACTCGGCTTTGGAGGCTCCGCGCTGGCGCAGCTACAGCTCACTACCTATGTCGAGCTCCTGCCTTGGAATAGGTTTAGACGGTTTAGGTATTAGGGTTTAGGGTTTAGGGTTTAGGGTCTAGGACTAGG